TCAAGAGGAGGTTAGATGAGCATCTAGCTGGGTTCATCTAGCCCCAGCCCTCTTTCCTGCCTATGCAGGGGGTCAGACTCGACGATCTATTGAGGTCCCTTCCGACCCTAGCATCTATGAATCTATGAATCTATGTCTGCTGCTAGCATCCTTATGCCTGGCTCCTTGATTGAGGCATCTGCTTCTAACCTTGGGGCGCCAAGGTGAGATGTTGCTCACAGCAAATTGGGCAGCCCTGTGACTCTCCTTCTTCCATCAGAAAGGAACAGCTGAACACTCTGACGTTCAAACGATCCCTGGGCATCTGGGGTCACAACACACTGAATCAGCTGAACAGGGCAGTTCACACATCTCAGAGCTGTTGCTCCAAACTCAATTAGACATCAGTCATCTCTGTATTGGTGACACTCACGTCACGTTTCTGAGATTTTCTCATTTCTAAATGAGAGGCTTAAGTTTTTACAATGAAAACTGGGATTCTGGAGAACAAGAGTATTTTCAGTGTATGTATGCACTGGCTATTCCCATGCCCTACTCACATATGGGTTATAAGCACATCAGTAGGAGGGGTTTGACATAACTTGTTAGACTGTAAGTGTCCATAACCATTAAAACATCTATTAATCATTAATTACCCCTTTATTACCTATTTATAAATATAACTTGGAACAGGGGCTCTATAATCTCTCACTGTACTGAAATATTTCATAGGTGATTATAGGGAGGTTAAATACCAGCAATGATAACTCTTCAGTGGTGGTATTAGATATTATGTGATCCCATAGTAGTGGGGCTCTGAAGTACCACAGACCAAATTGGAGGTGTTTATGTAAACGTATGCATTTCCTTGATGATTTAGGAGGCAAGTATAATGGCTGCCATTTTAGCTCACATGCCAGAGACAGAACTGAATCTGTTCGGTGTGAGCAAAACAGCCAGGCAACCATGCTGAGAAATGAAACAGTCTCATAACCCCTGTAGATCAGGCACAGCAGGGAACGTGTAACACACACCAGCCTGTGAGCTGAATAAATCCATGGCAATAGAATCGTATTTCTGCTTCTATCATGGGCATATTTATTTAAAAAATAGAGGCATTTCTAGAAAGGGGACGGCATAGCACAAATCAGGGTACCTGCCGGCATCAGCATGACATTGCTTCATCCAGGGTTAAAGTTGGAGTGATTTTATTACTTTTGAACTGTTCTCAGCTCTTTCACACACAATAATTAGAATTCACCAGCTGCTGCCCTTTTGAAACATTTCCCTTTTGAAAGGGATCCAAATGTGTCTGTGTCCATACCCTCAAGAAGTTGCTCTGGGAGCAGAGGGTTATGTGACTAGTCCAGCAGTACTGAGAAATCAGTGCTTTTCCTTAGGCTTCATCTACACAGTTTTGGTACCCATTTAATAATAGTGAATAGGCATTTGATTTTTTTTTAACCTGTATAATTATACTGATAAAACCAAGTGGTGATGCAGTAATGCAAGCATAACTGTGCTACATACAAGTACAGAACTAGGGGTCACAAAATGGAATTAGTAGGTAGTAAGTTGGTAGTATGCTTATAGGTCATGGCATTGTTCAGTGACCCATCTGTTTCTTCGGATAGCATTTGCTCAGATTGGTCCATTTGCTTTCAAATAGCAGGAACGTTAGGAATACGAGAATCTTTTATTTGAAGAAATTTGCCATTGTCTCCTGGGAGGCGCCTCAAAGAATAAGGTCTTATTTCTGCTCAGGGTCAGAAAGTCAGGTGTTTATCTGAGGCTCTGAAAACTAGACCTGTGCAAAGTGGCTACTATTTGTTTTGGATTCGGCCGATTTGGGGGACAGTGATTTGATTTGGTGATTCGAATCACTGCCCCGAATTGATTTGGCTGCTGCCAAATCTCTGAATCTCCCAGGCCAATCTCCTGCCTGCTCTCCCAGCCCAGCAATGGCTGCCCCAGCTCCTGGCACTTGGAAAATAAAAGCCCCCACTCACCGGGTGCTGCCGGGAGTGGGTGATCCCTGCTGCCACCCACTGCCCCACACTTCATAGGGGGCTCTGC